ACCCTCATATTTAAATAAAAATGCTTAAAAAATTAATTGCAACCACTGTCCCAATTTTTTAGAAAAGTACAAATGAGTCCCAATTAAATTTATTTAAAAATTTAAAAAAATTAAAAAATGCAAACGAGTCCCAAATCAATTATTAAAGAATTAAAAATTAAAAATACATTTTTTATTTAAATATGATGGTATATTCATTATTTCTCAGTTCTTTATTAAAAAATTGGATGAAAATGGATAAAAATGATAGTTTGTGATATCAAATTATAATTAAGTGAGAAAATACAAAAAAAAAAAAAAAAAAGGTATGGATTTTTTTTGTAATAATAGTGAAAGATATGGANAAATGATGGTTTGCGCTATCAAATTATAATTAAGTGAGAAAATACCCAAAAAAAATAAAAGGTATGGATGATTTTTTACAATAATAGTGAAAGATATGGACATTATGTGTTAATTACCATTTTAATAATTTATTTAAGAATCATTTGCGCTTTTCAAAAAAGTTGAGACTATGTTTGCAATTAGTTTTTTTTTCTTTTTTCTTTTGTTTGATTTAAAGGAAATGATATTTTCGTCATTTCACAATTTTTAATTGAGAAAATAGATGAAAATGACCTTTTGGACAATGAAATGTAGAAATAAAGGTGAAAATGTCAAAAAATGAAAGGTAGAGACGTTTTCCACAATAACAATGAAATGTGTTGACGTTTTGTGCTAATTACCTGTACCAAATCAAACCTAAAAAAACTTTATCAAACAACTCCTCAGTTAGAATCTTTGTTTTGGATAAAAAAATAAAAATCGTTGAAGTGAAATTTTAAATCACATCGATTCAAACAAGTACTCGACTTTTTGTTTTACAAGTTTTATCTCGACATCATATTTTTTTTTAAAATAAAAAGGCCAAATCTCCATTTTTCTTGGATTCATGCTCTATTGATTTTCGGTATGAAATGTGTAGTTGCGTGTATATGTTATAATCGTTCTTATAAAAATGCTTCAATTTAGACTTTGTAATTCAGAAATGCGAAAACGTCAATAGGAGGCGAATTATGCAGGCGTCATTTGAATTTAAAGGTGCCCACAAAAATGCATTTGGGAGAACAATAATTGTTAGGTGTTGGAAAATTAATAAAATTTAGAAAATAAAGATTTGAACTCATAATTTTCTTTGGTGGAAAAATTGTATTAATTAAAGTCAAAATAACTTAGAAAAATTTATTATTATTGAATTAACTTTTTTTTCTTTTTTTGTGGTGAGATTTATGAAATTTATTATTATTTTTTAATTCTTGCATAAAACTAAAAATAACCTTAATCATACTAAATTAATAATATATTTAAAAAAAAAAAAAAAGAGACTTCATTTGAATCAAGTGAAATAAGTACTCATTATTGATAATAAGTTATTAACACGAGTGACTTCAAACAACTAATTAGGAAAAATTGCAGTCATCATCTCTAATGTTTACTTTATGTGTGTCCAACTTTTATACCTTGACAAAGTTGTCCCTAGCCAATGACGCGGTCCAATTCTAACCTATATACAATTATAACAGTCAACAAGAGCGTCCTTAATATTCCGTGATGGATACACACAGGAATTCAACATTATTGGCTCGATTTAGATAGCAATTAGACAAAATGACCGTGAACATTTTCGATTTGAATAATGTTATTCAATATTATTGGCTCGATTTTGATAGCAATTGTATAACATTAAATTATAAATTTACTTAAAAATAATTCATTTAATTGAATTTATCTCTTAGCATAATATTATTGATTTGTTCATGTTTTCCTAAGGATGTACCCTTCCCAATTGTGAGTCACCCATAAAAGCTGGTCGTCAAATCTGTTGACTTTCCCTTTTAAGTTTTACCTTTTCATTTCCATCACGTGCCACGTGGACCGCGCCGCATAAATTGGGCCGGTGGATTTCTATATATTAAATTCCGTCCCATTGTTTTCTATATTTGGATTTAGTCAAATCCAGTCTCAATGTGCTTGGTTGGCTAAGCTAAATAGTAATTACTTTACTTGTAGGTAAAATAAAAGACTTGATCAAATTTACTTTTAATTTAAAAATAAATCTTAATTTTCTGTTAAAATAATTAAAATATTTTTTTTTCATTAAGAAAAAAAAAAATAATAATAATAACTAAATCGATGATATAACAACTTAATTGAACGTGCCGGCTCGATTAGAAAAGTTGAAAAGCAATTCAAAATCTCGTTTAATTTATGTAAGAATAATTACCTCGAAATGGACTGGTTCACCTCTAAAACGCTGAGTTTACCCTAAAACCCATCCAAAACTGTTGATTGATTTTTAAAAAGGAACAAATTTTTATTTTTTATCACCGCTGCATTGACCTTTAACCTTTGGTTTGTTTCATCAATTTCCAGAATAGTGATAATATATTCGGAAAAATAAAAAAATAAGTAATTTTCAAACTTGGGAAACAATACATGGTGTTAATCTAGCGGCTAGCAGTGGGGCCCATATTTTAATTTCTTGCACCCAATCTGACGCACCATCTTACGTTTTTTTTATCAAATCCCCGAAGCTTTCTCACCATACACATCAAATCTACAATTTTCCAGTCTACGTAAAACTTTTCAGTAGTTTCTCGTTCCTCAGCCCCACCCTACCCTTTTATATAGACTTGCAAATTGCTGTTGTAAAAGACTTCTCAGACTCTTGACATCTCATCTCTTTCTTGACAATAACTCTTTTATTTTCTAAACAATTAAATCAAAATATTTTAATTTCTTGATAATTTTCATCTTCTTTGGTTCTTGATTTATGGATAAAGGATGGGGTCTCACCCTTGAAAAATCTAATCCAGTTGGGTTTTTTACTAACAGGCCAGTCTTTGGATTTAATTTAAGCCCAAGATTGAATCAAAGCCCGGGAATTATGTTTCCGGTGAATCTGAATGACAGGGAGGACCAGGTGTCTCCACAGCAGGCAGACGGTAAACGGAAGTTTCTAGGTGAAGTAGACTTTTTTGCAGATAAGAGGAGGTCTAGTGATGATACTTATGTAGTGAAGAAGGAAGACGTTGAAGCTGCTAAAAGGGAATTGAATGTCAACGTAAGTAGTATCTGTTTATACATACAACATGTATGTATTTATGTATGTTGATATGTTCTATATATATACATGTATGCTTGTTATATTATTTTCAAGAGATATTTGTATTTATTGTTTTTTTCCCTTCAATATAGACTGGTTTGCAACTTCTTACTGGTAACAATGGAAGTGATCCATCAACGGCAGGTGATGGGATTTCATCTGATATCGAAAATAAGAAAGCAAGAAAAGAGGTGAGAAAATGCATACTCTCTAGATAAATTGTTGAATATTTATTCACTAGGTTTTGATAATTTGATTTCTAAATTTTTCTTTATTTATTTGTATGATATATAGCTAGCAGAATTGCAAGGTGAACTTGATAGAATGAATGCTGAAAATCAGAAGTTAAAGGGGATGCTTACTCAGGTCACCAACAATTACAGTACGTTGCAGATGCATCTTACTGTATTAATGCAACAGCAAAAGAATTCAAAAACTGAAAGCTTACGAGAAAACCAAGTAATTATTCTTTATTTTTAAGACTTGTTGAATTCTCGTATGAACTTTGCCAAAATCTTATTTGATGAAAATGTTTTACAATAATTCAGACTATAGATGGAAAATTAGAAGATAATAATAATCAAGAAAATAGAGGGGCAATAGTTCCAAGACAGTTCTTGGAGTTGGTCCCAGGTGATCAAGAACTGTCTCATTCTTCATCAGAAGAAAGAACGCTATCTGGATCGCCGGCACAAAACAAGAAAATGATTGTTAGGGAAGAGAGCCCAGCATCTGAAGATTGGGCTCCTAATAAGGCTCCCAAATTAAATCCCTTCAAGCCTGGTGATCAAGCCACTGAGGCTACCATGAGAAAAGCTCGAGTTTCAGTTCGGGCAAGATCCGAAGCTCCTATGGTATGCACCAAACACATAGTTTAGATGAATAAAGTTGTCCAAGTGATCAAACATTACCAATTGAATTGTGAACTGTCTCCAATAATTGTGATAGTAACGCTTTAGATTTTTGATCCATCAGATTTCCGATGGATGCCAATGGCGTAAATATGGGCAAAAGATGGCGAAAGGAAATCCTTGTCCACGAGCTTATTATCGTTGCACTATGGCAGTAGGATGTCCAGTGCGCAAACAGGTATATTGAACCCAGCTTTTATACCTGAAAATTGTAAGCATTTTATACATCAATGATTCATTTTAGCTTAATTTTAAAACGATTCATGCAATTTACAGGTTCAAAGGTGTGCTGAGGACAGAGCAATCTTGATTACAACCTATGAAGGTACCCACAATCATCCACTGCCACCGGCCGCCGTGGCCATGGCATCAACAACCTCAGCCGCGGCTAATATGCTCCTTTCCGGCTCAATGTCTAGCGCAGATGGGCTGATGAATCCGAATTTTCTAGCAAGAACCATTCTTCCGTGTTCATCAAACATGGCAACTATTTCAGCCTCGGCTCCATTTCCGACAGTCACATTAGACCTTACTCAGCAACCCAACCCATTGCAATTCCAAAGACCGCTACCCCCTACCCAATTCCAAGTCCCTTTTGCCGTCACTCCACCACCGCAAATGTCTCAAGTTTTAGGGTATAACCAATCAAAATTTTCCGGGCTACAGCTGTCTCGGGACAGTACTGAAGCTGCCTCATTGCCAAACGAGGAGCAGCAACACCCATCCTTCGCTGATACCCTCAGTGCCGCCACCGCTGCCATCACCGCGGATCCTAATTTCACTGCAGCCCTTGCCGCCGCCATCACTTCCATCATCGGAGGCTCCAATCCAAACAGCGGCGATAACAATACGATGGCAAACAACAATAGTGCCGACGTAAACACAAATAGCAGCAACAAGACAAGCAGTTTTTCAGGGAATTAATGGAAGCATAATCCAGTTTTTTGTCTGTAATTACTACTTTTTACATGCACTTGTATCAAATAGTTCAGAAGGAATTAAAATGTTCATATATGTATATTTATTTTTGTACTGTGGTGGAGGGAGGGTTTATTTCATAGGACACAAAAATTACATTTTTTATACTATTTTATACAGAATAAATGTCATTTCAATATTTAAATATATCTTCTATATATTAAAAGTTGTAATGTAATGAAATTTGTTGTTTTTAACTGAAAAACTAACGGAATTTGTTGTTATAACGAATTATGTAANTCTTCTATATATTAAAAGTTGTTATGTAATGAAATTTGTTGTTTTTAACGGAAAAACTAACGGAATTTGTTGTTTTAACGAATTATGTAACGAGATTTTTTGTTTTAAACAGGCAGATGCACCTTCTTTCAGTATTTTTATCATAACTTTGTATTCCGATATCCGATTGAGGTGATTCAAAATGCGTTGAAAAGCTAACTTATCTGACTACAACTTTGATTCAGACATCATTCTCCAATTCGATCACTTTTTATGCCAAAAATAGATCTCAATATGAGATTAAAACATCGG